TGTGCGCCTACCCAAGGTCTTAGGTTCCATAACAATAGAATCCAAAGAAGGAATCACCACAACCTTCCTCAATCACAGAGCAGCAGCAAGGGTTCTCTAAAGGGATAGCCTTTATTTTTGTGGATACACCAACAACCCATAGATTGCATCTCCAACTCTTATCCCATTTCTAGAAGGTGCAGTATTCATTGTTGTGATATTCCTCCATTCTAGCAACCTTCATTATTGAGAGCCCTTTCTGTTATGAACCCTCTAATAATAACCTCTCAACGCGTTTCTTCCAACAATATATCTTTTGCTTCCCTATAATCAAAGCATGCTTGCTACAACTGCTGCCTTCGTGCAGCCTAAATACCAACTATAATGAGGGTCAATAGGTAATGAAGAAACAAAGGAGACCAACTAAGGACGGAATCTCAAGCTCATCTAGCAAAAAATTTCCTCAACAGTGAGGGTCAAAAGAAAGGACTCAATAATGAAGAGATTAAAAGGTTGAAAGGACGGATAAAATCCACTGATATAAACTTCTACTATATGGACATTGGCACCGTCAGGTATGTCTACATTCTATTAGATTAAATGTTTCCAAAAAATATTTCGTTAGCCCTTGAGCAATTGACTCAATAGCTATAGATCACATGACATAAAACTCATATGTTAGCCCGTATGCTCCAAGCCTTAATAATAAAAAATCTTGTAGCTGATGGTTCAAAAGTTACAATTACAAGGCAAGAAAAAATAGGTTGAAACATTCTTCTCGTATTAAAATTCATGAATAAAAATGATCAATAAACTTTATTTTAAAAAATAAAAACAAAAAACTTAACAGAAGATCTAAAATGTTCTGCTCTTTCATCCTTCTTATTATGTTTTTCAGAATCAGTTTTGGAGCGTAAGATTGAAGCTGCTATGAAAAGAAGTGAGCTTTAATATCTTGAAATATTGAGTACCTCAAACAAAGTCATGTAAGTTTCCCTTGTTATTTCTTAATTGTTCAAATAAAGATTTCTTTTTGGCTTCATCATTACAATCTCAGTTATCTGTTTTTTAAATATCTAAAACAATCTTTCCATCATTTTTTAAAGCATTGAATGTCACAAGATTTTCATTGTGGCATGTCACTTTCATCTTGGTGACCCTCATGTACTCTTTATTTTTACTATTAAAAAGGTTTTCAATCCTTTGAATTAATCAATATTGACATTTGGGGACCATTCATAATTCAAAAGATTTTGGAGGCTCATGGTTTGTTCCCTCATTGATAATTGTATTAGGATCGCAGGGATATTTTTTTATTAAAAAAAATCTAAAATTAGAAGAATTATCCCTTTCACTCTATAATAAAAAATTAATTTGGGTACATATTAAAAATTTAAGATCAAATAATGGAAGAGATTACTTCTGTCTATTCTTGAATGCCTACATTAAAAAAGGCATGATTAATGAATAATCATACATCAATCTACAAATAATATTGGGTTATTGAAAAAAAATGCCTCCTACTCCAAATCAGTAGAGAATTATTATTTTTGGGAATGTTCGTAAAGCTTAAGGGGAGGAAATTGTCCTTGCTATAACACACATGATAAATTATAGTAAAAAACATTGGAACATAAAATTTAGATGGAGTACCTTGCTAAATTCTATCACCATGTCAAAATCTCTAATTGTCTCATACAGAGAATATTTAGAAGTACCAAATTTTTGTTCGTGTTCATAGTAAAAATAAAAAAAAATTTAACCTAAAGTTGCTGAGTGCCTGTTTTTTGGCTACTCTTCTACAAAAGAAAAGGATACAAGTGCTATTATCCTCTTAAAAAAATTTACATATTTATTGACGTCATCATTGCTAAAAAGAAACCTTACTTCATATTGACTTATCTTGAGCAGAGATTCACACATGTAAGAGGAAGACTATAATAAATCCTCGAGTTATCTATGGCTCCTATCTCACTCTACTCAAGAATCAAATGCCTTTATTCCAAACTTCATTGAGTTCGCCTCTTGCTCCTAAACACAGCACCATACCATGAACTATGCCCACTGTCGTTAAACCAAAATTAGTCCAAATTTATGAGTGAGATTTCCTCAAGTATCTTTATGAAGATGAATTGTACAAACGTGACTAAAAGTCAAAATACAAACCGAAGCCCTGTTGATGAAAATATGGCAAGCTTGGATGTCTTTTTGCACATACAATAAGTTGAAACATCACAAAAAAAAGTATCTTGCTCTTTTTATTAGTAACAAAAAAGATATCCTAACCTGGACAAAAAAAAAATCTATATATTCACTATCATACTGTCTCTTGAGCTCCTCTTTCTACTACTCCAAAGAAATTTAATTACGAGCCAAAAAAACTATTTCTATTCCAAAAAATTTACTAGAGGCATTATCAAGACAAGAATAAATAGATTGAAAATGTGCTATTATTGTGAAATACAAAGCTAGTGGCTCTTTTGACACATATATGAAAAGACTGGTGCCTAAAAGTTGCACAAAAATATATGAAGTTGACTATCAGAATACATTTTTCCCATGTGGCAAAAATTGAAATTGGGCAATATAATAATTTTTTTCATTGGAAACTCACTTTAATCGACAACTTCAACATCATGATCTCATATGGAAATTTAGAAGAAAAAATCAACATGACCATTGCTCTTGAATCTAAAGGAACTGGAACAACAAATAAGGTATGTAAACTGAAGAAAACCCTACATGGATTAAAAAAATCAACTGGAACTTGATTATGAAGGTTTTCAAAGATAATGAAAAGAATAAGATACACAATGTTAAGGAAAGCATACTAGAGAACAAAATATCAACATCAGATTATTGCAGCCTTCTTGGAGGATATATGATGGCATAGAGGATCAAAAAATTTTGGTCGCAAGATCCAATGTTGAATCAGAAGTACGGGCTATGAGCTAAGAAAATTGTGAATTATTATTGGTAAAGATAATCCCGAGTGAGCTAAAATCAAGTGCGAATGTTCGTATTATGACAATTAAAAAATAAACATTCGTTATAACTGATACAACGTGATCAAACTAAGCAAAGATTAATAGACATTTCATCAAAGAAAAGTTGGAAAAGGGCCTAATCCCATGTCATGTGCTCAAAAATTTAACGAGCAAATGTATTTACCAACTAATTTAATGGAAAAAATTTTGACAAAATCATCTCAAAGATAGGACTAGAAGAGATTATTTTGGAGGTTGAAGGGGTGTCAAAAAGCAAAAGCCCTGCAAAAAAAAAACTCATGACAAATTTTGTGTCAAAAGCATAATAGGAAGCTCTGAATTTAAATTTGATTGTATTTAGCTAAATAAGAAATGTCATTATATGTATATATTTAGAAATATTTTTCATGTTTTTGTGTAGAATTGTTTCCTTGTTGCCTTTCTAAATTATTCTATATACTTCCTTGTACTAATACTTTGAAGGAATGACAAATAATCAGTTCCAGTCTCTATTTACTCCAAAGTAATTTTGTTCATAACCTCTTCAATATATTATCCATCCACTAAAGAGCCAATGCACATACTCTATTAGTAAGTGTAAAATACTAAAATGAAAGTAATAAGTCCTTATAAAGATCTACAAAATGTTTTATTTAATGATCATTATCATCATTAACCTTAGCAAACAACTTGGGATCAACATTCTAGACTCTTATTCTCCATTACTTCTTATTATGAGTTCATGATATATTAATTTTCCTTTGTATGCAATACTCTGCTTAACTTTTAGGTGTGCTATCCTTGATCATCCCCTTTTTCAACATGTTCTCTCCAAATCAACTTTATCTATCCAACTTACTAGTCCGCCTTCTAAGCTCCATTGTAAATTCTCAAATAACATAAGTATTTTTTAAGCACATTCCTTAATAATAATTTTGTTAATTAATATCCACTAATTTTGTCACGTAATCTTGTTTTTTTTTTATATATCACACAGCTACGTTGTCAAAGACATTTTAATATCCCAACATGAAATTGATTTATCATAGCCACATATATTGTATTTTTTAATTTTTTTTGTACAATATTCTTTAGTTGCATCGTACTTCTGAGAAACTTTTCTATTCTAACCAATCATTTTAAACTTTTTTAGTAAAATCCTCATCAATCTAAAATACCAAAACCTACCACTCTTATCCTTGGGCATCTCTTGATCTTCTCCATTCTCACTAATCAATCTTAACTATAATAATTAAATACTCATAAATCTTGTAATTATGTATAGTAGATATAAATATACAAAAATTTACCATTTTGAGGTATCACTTAATCTAATAAGATATTCTTTTAGGACAATGTACTCTTGAAATATTTTTCTATCCTAATCAATCAATCTTAACTATGTTGGTTATATCCTCTTTGATCTCATTAGCATATACATAAACCAAACACTTCTAAGTATCACTTAATCATTAAACAATACTGATTAAAAATTATCAATATGACACTCAATATTACACATTATAACTTAATTTTTGTTCTACTAAACTAAGCCTTTAATACCTGAAATTTTCTGTGCTGATATCAAACTTTTTTATTTATTAAGTTTTTCCCCTATTAGACCCATATAATATGCAAATAACATTCACTACGGTAACTCGGTTCCTTTTTCTTGACAAAAGAGCATTAATATTAACGCCAATTGGCCAACTTTTCCAAACATCATTTTGACACTACCAAGGAAGTGCAAATCTAGAACAGAGCTTCCTGCCTCCAACAGATCTACAAATTTTTACCATAGTTTGATAAAGAGGTTATTTTGAATTCAAATCCATGAACTCTTAGTCACAAGCTGGCAAGTTAACAGTGGATCTAAGGGCTATCCTCTCATAAATATTAAGGAAGACAGTAATTTGATTATGATGACAAAATATTTCATTTCAAGAAGTTTTAGAAAAAAGGATAAATAGAAAGGGCAAATGATTAAGCAGTCAACATACAAACCAAAAGCCTGAGAAACAAACAAAGAACTACCTTTATAATGGTATTTGGTGATACAAAAGCAAATTTTGTTAAAGAAGGTTTGGTGCTTGGAATGATGAAAGGGGATAGCTCATAAATTGAGAGCCTACGAGATTCCCATTCTGGTGCCGCATTGTTAAGTTTATGCTTGACTTCATTTTGCCTAGATATTAAAAAAAAGCATTAGCAACAACAGCTGCACCACGCTTATCAAACCAGAAGAGATGGTATAAAATAAAAGCATTAGCATTAAAAATACCCTTAAAAGACTATTTCTTAACAGAGCGCTCCAAGTGCCTCTTACCCAAAGAGCTCCAGATTTGAATCGGGAAACAATACTTTCAGCTTGTAATAGAACAATTTCATATCTTCACTTTCAGGCACATATAAACTGAAATAAACATGCTTCGACAATCTACACACGCAAAGTTAAGCATCAGAAAATCAATGTTTTCCAATTCAACATCTAAAAGCTTAAAATAAATAAAGTAATTACAATATAAAACTGTTCAAACTGATTCATTATCTATGGCAGTGGCATAGAAAATATGGGTCTAAAGTAAGGGACTCTGTATGCGAGCATTTGTGCGCAAGGTAAAAGAAGATTGTCCTATCTTGTAATGACCAACATTGCATTCCAAAATTCTGACATCATAATTTTGAATCTGGACCAACATGACTTCACCAACATGGGAAACACAATTGCAGAGCACATTGTCCAAATCAATGAGTATTATTGATTTTGTTTTGTAACAAACAAGATAGAACAGCAAAAGCACAAATTATCAAACCAAGCTCAACGGTTCAACATCCCTGTGAAGTTATCAACTGTGGTTGAAAACCCCAAAAATTCATTTTCCTAAACTACATGTGCCATTGTAGATCATACATAGAATTTTTTTCCAGAGAAAATTCCAAGCGAAAATGATAAGTTCTCAATTATTTCTGTAGCTCAAATGGCATTTGCATGGTGGGAAAAAGTTGATTAGTACATGGTAGAATATGTAAATGGCTATTCAAGATTTTGTTATACCAGTCCCTGAGGACATATTAGTCTTTTATGTGCTTAGGGGCAATTTAGTTTTTTGTTATTTATTACTGTTTAGTATAAGTACGGCTAACATGCTTAGGGTTAGGATTATGCATAAGATTGTTGTCTTTAATCTTAGGGTTAGGGTTTGAGATAGATTTCCTACCTCTTGAATTATAGGATTTGGGAGAGATCGGCTACTTCTTGAATTATAGGTACTTATATTTAATGTATTCAGAGTTGTAATCGTTGATTTGCTTTCGACGAAATAAAATATATATTATGTTTGTCCAATTTTTTTTCTAAAAAATCATCTCGGTTCCTATCAAATTGATATCAGAGAATTAGGTTCTAGGACAAGAAAGATCGGGTGTGCCCTAGCCATGATCCGAGAGCCATTAGAGCTAGTGGGGACGCCCAGTAGGAACTTGATGTACAGGGCCAACGACGAGGTCAGAGCGTACAGGCGATACGTTCACAATATGGCTTGTTGCAATGATGAATTGATATCACATATAGACACATACACAGTCCCGATTTTTTCCTAGATGGGAAGCCAGCAACGGGATCGCGCGGTACATACATGTGATAAGATCTGGAAATAGCAACAAGGAAGTCGACAGATCGTGGCGTACAAGAGTTTCGTGCCGCTCTTTCGTGAAGTTCATGATCAAGATCAGGGCGAAAAGAGTTATGCGCCGCTCGTGATCAAAACTCACGATCAGGATCTACGACCTACTGGAATCCTGATTGCGGGAGGCCAATAATAGGATTAGAGGATATTAACCGAAGTTTGCGACGAGTTATAATTTGATTGTGTGGCCGTGGACAAAGAAATTAAAGAAGGGTAGCTTTCAATGGGAGAAAATAACGACCCGGACTTTTAAGAAGTAAGAGAATGCCATGATGAGTGTGTTAGTGCTGGCGGCGAGAACCAGACCCAAGCTAATTTATAAGTGGGAGCCACATGATGTGATCCGACGGCAATTTCCTTTTTTTTTCTCCCCTTGAGGACAAAGTTTTTTTGGGAATGGAGTACTGTTGCGTCGGGTTCATGAAGGCAATTTAGTATTTTGTGTGCCTAATGAAAATTTAGTCTTTTGTTATTTATTATTGCTTAGTATAAATAGGGCTAATATGCTTGGGGTTAAGGGTTATGCATGAGATTGTTATCTTTGAGTCTTAGGGTTAAGATTTGGGAGAGATAACCTACCTCTCAAATTGTATGATTTAGGGTAGATCGCCTACCTCTCGAATTGTAGGTGCTTATCTTTTATGTCTTCGGAGTTGTAATCGGTGATTTGTTTTCGGCAAAATAAAATATATACTATTTATATCCTAATTTCTCTGAAAAATCATATCGGTTCCTATTAGTTTCTTACTTCACAGACCTCTCCAACAACACCCTATGGATCTTGGAGCATAAGCCTCTCCAACAAATATGCTTGGAACTTCACCTAACCAATATTTTCAGTATTCTGTCTGCTGCAGGTTTGCAAGATTTGTTTCAACAAATTATAACTAGTTGAATGTTATAATATGGACTTCATGCCTAATAAAGTCTAACCAAAAGGTTACTGAGAAATTGCATCATTAATACATTCATGGATGAACAAAAAATTATTAAAAAATGAGAACAAGAATGTTGAGTAGCTATGAATAAATAGCATATAACTTGATGTACAAACATCGTGCTAGATAGGGTCGAGTTGGCTAGCACAGCAAGCACTCTAAGATCCAAACAATCAATCCAAGTAACCACATTAATCCTTCCAATTTCCACATCAGGCTTTTTGGCATGGGTAAATTGCCCGTAGAGAGGATCATTGATGTTGGTCAGCTGCAATAGAAAAAATTAAAATGTTTGAGAATGAAACAAAGATGAATAAATTGATAAAAAGTACCTGATTAAGGGGAAAAAAATAAAAAGCTTAAAATGATTGTACATATCTATTGTAATAATAGATTAAGCATCTTTTCCAGCTCAAAACTAAAAACAATCAAGTGAAAGTTCCAAATAAATCAAGTGAGAAAATTATGAAAGAAATAAAATGAAGCATCCAGTGCAAGAAGCTTTCACCACTTCATGATCTGTGGTGGTGACTGGTGACTGTTGTTTATGAATGCAATTTTAGCAATGCGGTTGAGAGAGATTGTTTCCATGATCATAATGAAAGAATACAACATAGAAAAACCACAATAAGATGGAACCTTAAAAGAGTATATAATGAGAGTTGAAGACAAGAGTAGTTTCGCATTGACAGTAAAGAGTAGTATATAAACAGAAACAAGATTACATCCTCTCCTTTTCTCTTACTTCGTCAACTTTGGAAATATTGAAGTTCATCATTAATACAATTTATAGTTTACCTTGAATTCTACTCAATAAATTAAGAGCTCCCTCTATATAAGGATGTATTTGACCTGTGGTTTTCAATTACTGATGGATTATTGAGTTTGATATTCCTCTTAACCCTGCTTGTTAGCTATCCCTCTTGAAGGTAGTGGGTGGCCTGTTGGTGTGATTAAAGAGTGTAAAAGGCTTTCAATCTATATTTTAATATTTAGAGAAGTGCTTTAGGGTTTGTCGTAGAGTGATGAGGGATGAAAGGGGGTTCTTGTGATAAAAATATCAGGATTAATCCGGGTTGAGCTAGTCCTGAGCTGATTTTGAAGAACACTTTGAGAAAATAGTTTAAGGTTAGGTAAATGATTCCAATGGATGATTAGATTCGGATGTCTACTTGTGATCTGCATTGGATGGTTGGATTTGGATGGTTTTACACAAGTGTTAAGGAAAAGGGAACAAAAATAGAGCTTAGTATTATCCAGATTGGCCTAGAGTTAAGGGAGAGTTTGAAATAGTTGGGAGGCTTTGCTTACTAGTTTATTGATCTTAGAAGATGCTTAGGATGGAGATGGGGAGTGATGAAGGGTTCAGAGTAGGAGTTATGGAGGGTTAGTGAATAACTTAAAAAGAAAAGGATTACCCAATCTCATTCAAGAAAAAACACACTTGAAGCCACTAGATGTTAAGCAAAAAATGAGAAAATTTTTCACCTAAATATTTTATTCAGCAACTAAAAAAATTCATTACAAACTGGCTATAGATCTTTTATTAAGCAAATCTCCAAAAAAAAAAAAAACAGAGAAAAATTTTGGAAGAAAAAGTAGGTGGCTATTAATGAGTAAATGTTTTAACCATCTTCCTAATTTAATTTTTTTTATTTATTATGTTCAGCCTATACAAAACTCCATATTGGAAAATTCAGTTTCAAAAAACTAAATTTGAAATTTAAATAATAAAATACAAATTCAATCATTTTCTTATTCGGCTCTTATAATGGGCCTTGATTGAGCACTTTGTATAAGAGAAAAATTTTGGAAGAAAAAGTTGGTGGCTATTAATAAATTAATGTTTTAACCATCTTCCTAATTTAATTTTAATTATTTATTATGTTCAACCTATACAAAACTCCAAATTGGAAAATTCAGTTTCAAAAAACTAAATTTGAAATTTAAATAATAAAATACAAATTCAATCATTTTCTTATTCGGCTCTTATAATGGGCCTTGATTGGGCTCTTGTCAGGTACTTGAGAATTTGATTAATTTTAAGGCCTTCAATTGAACATTTTGTTCGGGCTCTTGTAATTGGATTTTTTGTGTTTTGGCATTTTTGTGTTTTGGTCCTCATTTGGCTTCATTTGTTTGGGTTCTTGTAATTGGAAAATTTGTGTATCTTCTAGGAAAATTTAAAAAAAAGTTTCCTCTATATTTAAATATTTCCAAAAGAGATAATCACAAACTACTTTCAGAAGTCAATGTATATAAAATAGGTTCAAATATGATTTGACCATATTACAAAGATGATGTGATCATTATGCAATTGAATTGAAAATAATTTAGAAAATGCTTGTTTAAAAAATGAAAATTACTCGATTAAGGTTTTGAAATTATGTGAATCGTGTACATGGATTGATTATTTTTCATTTAGTACTCAATCATTATTCGAAGATTTCTCATTTGCGGTCCAATCATAGATTTTATCCCAAGTTGATACAATAGATAGTGCAATCAAAATAGCTATGAGATAACGTAGTGTATTTAATATGTCCTATAAATTGATTATAAGAAATGTGAGATAGCAATCATAATGTAAAGAGCTACTATTGGTTTATTATAATATAAACGAAGATAAATTTTCAAAAAGGCATATACAATGCCGTAAAATCACTTTCATAAAACATCAACCCTCGCACATATAGTAGATCTCGAGTCCATGGACATTCACAATTTGAGCAATAAACTTACTCAACTCATTTCCGTCAGCTAAAGAATAAAATCAATTATCAAATACATAATTGATTACTTCACAAACAAAAATAAAGGCCAAGACTAAATCTAACCTCGGAGATCATTTGAAATTTCATTTGAACCAACATAACACGACAACACAAAATAACCCCTATGATCAAAAACAAAAATGGTTAATAATTTTCTAAGAAAATTCAAGCCATAAGCAAAGTATTTATCTCAAGTTTACTCAATACAAAACCCAATAAAAGAAAAATAAAATTGAGGCTACCAAACAACAAATTCTCAATCTATTAATGAAAAAGTCAAAAGGGCAAGGGGCAAGTATCATGCCCTCAACTTTACGGGCATTAAGGATGAGTGCATCATCGACAATTGGGCGAATACATTTTATGTTATCACACAGGCCAAAACACTACCACTATAAGTCAAAACACTACACTAATTAAACACTACTTATATAGACAATTGGCCATAATTTTCTATATCTTATAGGAAGATTTACTAAGTGGTGAAAGTTTGGGAGAAGAAAAAATAATTATTCCTCTTCGATTTCATAGGAAGTGTTTACCAAATAAATAGGGGGGGGAGTTACCGCATTGGGAAAGTCCCAAAATTCCCATGCTAACAAACAAGAAACAAAAAAATTACAACTTACCAACGACAACACACTCCAAAAATAAGAAATACTAAAAAAAGAAGATACTGAAAATAAAACTTTATAAAATTTCAGCACCCCTCTCAAGATGGTGTGATTAAGGAGTGAAAAAGGCTTTCAATCCATACTTTTATATTTACAGAAGTTCTTTGGAGTTTATGGTAGAGTGAAGAGGATTAAAGGGGTTTTTGTGATAGAAATGTCAAGGTTAATCCATGTTGGGCTAGTTTTGAGCTGATTTTGATGAACACTTTGAGAAAACAATCTAAGGTTAGGTAAATGGTTAGAAAATCCTATGGATGGTTAGCTTTAGATGTCTACTTGTGATCTGAACTAGATGGTTAGATTTGATGGGTCTAGACAGGTGTGAAGGAAGAGGGAACGAGACTAGAGCACAGTATTATCTAGCTTGGCCTAGAGCTGAGGGGGTGTTTGAAACAGTTATGGAGGCTTCGGTTGCTAGTTTGTTGATCTTAGAAGATGCTTGGGATTAGAATAGAGATGGGGATGGGGATGGGGATGGGGATGGGGATGGGGATGGGATGAATAGTTTAAAGTAGGTTTTATGGAGAGATAATGAATAGCTTAAAGAAAAAAATTATCTAATCTAATTCAAGAAAAAGCACACAAGTGAAGTCACTAAATACTCAGCGAAAAAATGAGAAAAATTTTTCACTCAAATATTTTATTCAACAACAAAAATAGGTCATTACAAACCGACTATATTTATAGAGCTTTTATTAAGCAAAATTCAAGAAAAAAAAAATTTTGGAGGAAAGGTAGGTGGCTATTAATGAAGAAATGTGTTAACCACCTTCCTAAATTATTTTTTATTATTGTCAGCCTATAAAAGCACCAAATTGGAAAATTCAAAGTTTCTAGAAAGTAAATTTGAAATTCAAATAATAAAATGCAAATTCAATCAAATTATTTATTCAGCACTTATAATGGGCCTCGATTGGGCACTTCGACTAAGCTCTTGTCTGGCCTCGAGGAATTGGACATTTGGTTTCATTTGCTTAAGAATTTAGCTATTTTTATAATGTTCAATTAGGCATTTTATTTGGGCACATGTAATTGGACAGTTTGTGTTCTAGCATTTTTGTGTTTTCACCTTCATTTATTTGGGCTCTTGTGATTGGACATTTTGTGTATTTTCTAGAAAAATACGCTTAAATGTTCCATCTAGATTAAAATATCTCCAAAAGAGGATAATCACAAACTAATTTTAGAAGTCAATGTATATAAAATAGGTTTGAATGTGATTTGATCATAATATGAAGATGATGTGATCATTATGCAAAGGTGAATTGAAAATAGTTTGGAAAATGTTTAATTATGAAATGAAAATTACTCAAACAGGGTTTCAAAATTATGTGAATCATGTACATGGATTGATTATTAATTGTTTAGTATTATTGGAAGATTTCTCAATTGTGGTCCTTTCATAGATTTTATCCTAAGCTAATACAATAGATTGTACAATCAAAATAATTATGAGACAACGCAGTGCATTTAATATGTTCTATAAATTGATTATAAGAAATGTAAGAAAACAATCATAATGCAAAGAGCTACTTTTAGTTGATTATAATAAAGACAGAGAAATCTTAAAAAAGATATATATGATGCCGCAAAATCACTCTCATATAGCTTCAAACCTCGCACAAGCTTTTGTAGATCTTGAGCTCATGGAAATTCGCAGTTTAGGGCATAAACTTATTCAACTCATTCCCATTAGCTAAAGAATAAAGAAAATGTATCATAGACAAAATTGGTTGCTTAAAAAAAAAAAAGAGAAAGGCCAAGACTAAATGAGACATTGGAGATCGTTTGAAACTTCATTTGAACCGACATAACATGCCAACACAAAATAACCCCTATGATCATCAACGATAATGGTTCATAATTTTCTAAGAAGACTCAATATTTCTGTCATAACCAAAGCATTTATCTCAAGTTTACCTCAATACATCACCCAATAAATGAAAAGTCAAATTGAAGCTGCCAACTAACTCTCAATCTACTGATGATAAAAACGAAGGGGCGAAGGGCAAATGGGTTGTATCATGCTCTCAGCTTTAAGAGCAATAAGGATGAGTCCATCATCGACAATTGAGTGATTACATTTTATGTCATTACACAAAGCCAAAACAATACTATTAATTAAACACAACTTATATAGCCAGATGGTCACAATTGCCTATAGGTATCATAAAGGAAAATTTAATAAAGGGTGAAAGTTTGGGAGAAGAAAAGTAGTTATTCCAAATGGAGAAAGTTTGGAAGAAAAGTAATTATTCCTCTCTGATTTTATAGGAAACGTTTACAAAATAAATAGTACGGGAAGGCTACCACATTAAGAAAGTGACAAAATACCCATGCTAACAAAACGGGAAACAAAAATTATAACTTACCAACAAAAACAAATTCAAAAAGTAGGAAATACTAAAAAAATTAAGATATTAAAAATGAATATTCATAACAGTTCAACACCTCTCAAGTTAGAACATAAATATCTACCATGTCCAACCTGCTTACATAGTTACGCCTGAAAACTCCTTTGATGAAGATATCTGCTATTTGTTGAACAACGGGGATAAATGAAATGCAAATAGCTCCACAATCAATCTTCTTTCTTATGAAGTGTCTGTCAAGTTCCATATGCATTGTGTGTTCATGCTGCACCGGATTTTCTGCAATGCTTATGGTTATTTTATTGTCACGGTAAAACTTCATTGGCATGTTTATCGTGATCCTCAGCACTTCAATAATTCTTTTCAAGAATTCTTTTCACTCATAAGATGACTTCTAGCTCCTTCAAAACAATTGGTTTAATTTCACATCATTTTTCACGCTTTCTCTACCAAAGCGTAGCCACCATGGTTAGAGCCATCTCTTTCTATGAAATAAAAATCCTTAAAACATTATTTTTCAAATTCAAGTTCCTCACAGGCCACGGCCTAAACCCCTCAAAAGCAAACAAATCATATGTTGTTTATTGTAGTACAATCTCTCACAACCCTATGTGGCTTACATCCTACCTGCTTATATTATAACTACTTACAAAATGATACATAAGCTGCCAGCGAGAGATATTGAATTCCATAATATAAAGGTGAGTATTGCTCAAGCATATATGGTTAATCTCCTCCCAAATAACCTTGGAGTAAATGGTGGGAAAGAGATCATAGGCAGTCAAGCCATCCTCAAACCAGCAAAGTTCGACATTAAGAACAATTTAGTTCAAATTTGTGTGCTCACCATATTCATAGGTGCTCTTCCTCGGCCCATTAGGGTGTAGTAGATTGATAATTTTAGGCAGCTTGGCAATCTTATTCCCCTAACTACGGATTATTACTTGCTTCCTTCCTCTCTTTGTATGAGCCCTTTTTGCCACTAACTTATCATTCAATATTATCATATTCAACTGACTCGTACTTGTTTTCTTTTCCCCACAAAAGGGATAAGGGGCAGTTCTATTTTTTCTTTTTCTTTTTTTTTTTTTTTTTTATGAATGTGGATAGGGGCAATAAAAAATAGGGGCAGTTCTATTTTTTATGCCCCTATTTTTTATGAATTTAGCTATTGAAGTTGCTACCATCGGGACCATATAAACGAAAAGGCCTAGGAAGCCACAAGAGAGGAAGGCGAGTTCGCTCTCGATGCACTCGCCTCAACAGCTTGAGACGATGTGGATGAAGATGTTTCTGAAGAGTGATTACCCTTGCTCACCACACCAGTCAACACTTAGATAGTTTGAATGTTTGGCTCTTTAGCAGTTGCCCACTTTTGTAAATTTCCCTCTTAATATTAAATATTTAAAAAATAAAATTAAGATATGAATCAAAGCGCTTTGATGTCAGTTTGATATAGAAAACAGCAGAGGCTTAACTTACAATAAGTATATAATAGAATTCTAGTATAACTTCGATGTTTTTTTTTAAAAGCTTCTTCAAATTTATGTTAAAAATTCATGAGCTTATTCTGAAGCTCTTCAATTTCAGTCAAGACTATAAATTAACCAAACAAAAAAAAGGTCATAATCTATTGGAACCTATCCGAACCCACCGAAACTGTAAACCACGATTTTAAACAACAAAACAAACAAAATAACGCATACCTGTTACATGCAGACCGGTTCCAAATATCATATTCAAACTTTAAAAAAATTACATACGATAAACCCTAAGTAAGAAAATCACCGTAGCAGCAGGGGTGGCCGCCCAGCCTGAGAGGCCCCCCGCCGCCTGAAGAAGGCGGTGGTGTTCGTAAGGACGAACTCGCCGGCCTCTTCCATAAGCCAGATCCTGAGGGGAAGGGGCTGCCGTCGGAGGAAGCCGAAGCCACGTTCATTTTTCACGCTCTTGGTAGTTCAAGCAATGATTTAAGAGAAGTTTACAAACAAACTAGGACGTCCAAAGCTGCCCGTCGTTGTTCACGAAGAGCTCCGCTTTCATTCGCCCTAAAAACACAACCTTTTTCTTAATTTTGTTTGCTAGTTTTTGCTCCATGGACCGCCCGCTCTCAACGTGCCTAACAATTCAAGTATCATTTGTTAAAGGTTAACCGTCTCCGGGGTTTGCTAGTTTGACAAGTTTCAATAACTTTTAAGATAAATAGAAAATCAGGATTCCTATGTTGAATATGAGATATTCTTACGCCATAGTGCTAGGTTGATTTGTTAGAAACTCTACTAAAACTCACTATCTCAAATTAACAAATTTACTTTTTAAAGTTATAGTGTTACTTTATGACAACTAACGTTTAAGTTTGGGGTATTGACACGCCTAAACATTATTTTTTTTCATATATATATGTATATAT